CCAAGAGGGCTAAGAGCCTTTGGTTTACATCAGGGAGTGGCCCTGACCAGAAAACCTCAATTGCTCCTTTGCCTTTAATGGTCCCTCGCGAAGACTGGATCAAGAATAAAAGAGAGACAGAAAAGACAGAGAAAGCTTAAAATAGAGAGTGTAGAGAAAAATACAAAACTAGATGTTTCCTTAAAATACTAATATACTATTGAGTGCACACACACCGTGTTATATCACATTCAAATGGACCGGTCCTTCTTACATTCAGACACATACAGCACTCACCATTCTTGCTTTCAGGATCCCCAGATACAGATACAAACAGACAACAGAAAACCTCGGCACGCTCTCTGATTCAAAACTGAAAGTACAGACCGGGAGGGGAATAGCCAAGCCAATTTCCCTTCTCCCGAGGTGAGGAGACACTGTCTTCCTCACTTCAGATCACCCTGGTCACTAGGGCCAGAGTGCTGGAACCTGGGGTCTCTGGGCACGTCTGCCACTCCCCTTGGTTCCCAGAATACAGACTTACAGGTCCTGTACAGGCACAACTGTTCAGACGGAACGTTCCCAGAGCAGGAAATGACTGACAGACATTAAGACCAAGACAAACCACAAGACAAATATTCTTACCTCCTGCTGATCTGAGGAAATGGGTCTGGGGGCGATCAAATCCCGGACGAGCCCCCAAATGTAGGACCCACCCCCCCAGACTGGGGTACCCTACGTTCTCGGGAGGCCGCACCCCAATAACTCAGTCCTCAAACCAGAAGATGCAATAGCAAGAGGAATTTTTTTATTTCGTCTATAGACGGCCTTCCACCTTGATCAAAAGGGGAAGTCCAGATTCAGTTTAGAAGCTGGGTTATATAGACAGAAACCACAAACCAAACAGCAGTGGGAGGGGTCTAGTATTCAGGTCACAGCAGAAGTGCTTGGTCACAGCAGAACAGAAGTGGGAGGGGGATTTTTCAGGTATTTTTCCAGCTTAAGGAAGCATGAAAGGTCATCTTTTCTTCTCTACAGTTAGAATTATTTTCCCTTTACTTCCTTGTACAGTTTCCCAGAATATAGCCTGGGAAACTTAGTTTCAATTTAATCTGGGGGGCTCTGATTTGAAATTCCATCAGAGGTAGGTTGGCAAAAAGGAGCTAAGTCCTGTTCTTCCATAGTAGGAGTTAACTGAAGTGCCCCAAACCAAAATACTCTAAAGTACAATTCCTTTAGATATCTAGAAAAAAGTATCTTTCCAGCTGAGTGTGGTGGGGCACACCCATAATCCCAGCACTGGGAGGCTGAAGCAGGAGGGACCTGAGTCAAAAAAACAAAGAAAGTATCCTTCCAAAGCCGCTGATAGAGTTAAAATGTTTGCCCTAGAGAAAGAAAGGAAAAAGAGGATCTGCGTGTTACCTAACTCCCATCAGGATCAGGAAACAAGTCTTTACATTGTTTGCACATGTAATTTGGCAGAGAATAAGAAAAAGAAAATGAAGGAAAAACACTTTTGAGGGGGAGGGGACAGAAAGGAACTATTACCTCTAGACCCATTTTAACACTTCGATTCATTTTTTTCAATCCGTTCCTCCCTCTATTCGTGATTTGTGTTCTTCTCTTCCTTCTCCTTTTCTCCCTCTCTTCATTCCTTCCTTTTAACTTTGCTGTAATCACATATAGAATACCCCACGAATTCTTAGCTGCATAGCACACCTGGTCCTTATGAATACTCTGTCTGCTCTGTTTGATCCATTCAATTGCAAGTGCTGATTTTTTTCTGTCACGTTCTTACTTCAGCGCGTCTTCACAAGCATCGTGTTGGTTCAATATTTCATCTCGTGGAATATTCATGTGCTCCCCAACTTTTTTACTTTTAAATTGTTTTCCAACTTTTGCATTATAAAGAACACTTGGATAATACATTGATCCCCTGATTCATTTTCTAAATTTTTTTGTTTGCTGTTGTTGTTGTTACTTTTAGGATAAATTTCCAGAAGTAGGATTGCTGGGTCAATGAGCATAAACGTGCTGCCTGTTTATCTTCAACTCTCCAGAGCACTTCCATGCCCATTGTTTAATGTGCCTGGATCCTTCATGTGATTTTGGGATGAGGGAGAGACCCTCTGCCATGTTCACATCAGGCCATTGAGAGCTCCATTCTCAAGGCCATGCAGATGCTGGAGGAGCCAGAACAGCCCTAAGTAAAATGCATGTTTCCCTACTTTTTCTGAATTTCACTTTTGCCTGTACCTCTAAAATGACACAAAATTCAGGATGAGCTGTCCCCACCACATCCCTTCCCAGGTTGCTTAGCCTTTACCTAGTAGGGCTTCTCCCTTATGGAGGCTTTTCCTTTCACTGAGGGTCCATTCTGTGTCTAGCAGCCCAAGGACCACAGATGTAAAGTGAAGGAAGAGGAAGGACGAATTAGGGAAAGAATAAGAGAAACAGTATGTTGTGCTAAATTAGAATACAGGACAGGAGCCTCAACAAGGTGCACAGGAGAAAGTTGGGCAAAGGAGCCTCAAGTTTAAGATGGAGTGTTTGAACTGAAGATACTGTTGTGAGGTGGTTCACCAGAGAAGACTACTCAGATAAAATTTTGCTGGGGTCCAGTTGACATGTGTTCCCATGCCCTGGGCCAAGAGCCTGATAATTTCAGAGACTAGAGTCAGCCTAAACTTTAACATGGTGTAGCTATGGTCAAGAAGGTTCCCTATTACAAGGTGGGATGTTTGAACTGAAGATACCAAAGGCTTTGATTTGGAGTCAGGGTCATGGTATGCTTGAACTGTTAAACCTACTTGATATCAATTTACTCTCTCAAAGTAGCTAAATAATAATTCTGTCTTCTCCCTTCTATTTCTTTTTCAACTAAATCCTCAAAAACACCTTCAAATGGTAATTTTTCCACTGCAGAACAAAGTGAGTCCTGTGTGGTCCAACCCAAACCCTGTACACCAGGAAGAGAATCCACCTTTCATGGCAACACACAAAAGGAAACCCTCCTGTTAGAGGGGCCCAAGGCTTCAGTGGTGCCTACAGCTAATGGTGTTAAATCCCACCACCAACCATCTCCCGTAAAGAATGTAGCCACAGACCAGTCAGGACCCACAAAGAAGGCTGAGCCTCTAGAGCAACAGGAAGAACGGGACTCACCTCAGTCAGGAGGCAAAGCCGCTAAGCCAGAAACAGAGGGAACCAAGAGAGATGCGGAAACAGGGACAGAGGCTCAGCCTTTAAAAGGGAATGCTGAGACTGAAGTGTTAGGAACAGAAGCCAAGGGTCAGCCTCTGAGGACCGCGTGGGGGAGAGACTCCCCTGGAGCAGGGGGCAGTTTTGAGAATTCACAAGCTGGTGAAGTGATGCAGCGCCTAGGAACAGTTGAGAACGTTCTGCCTCTGGAAACAGCTGGAGAGCTACCACCCGGAGAAGCAACGGGAAAGGATAAACAGCCCCAGAGTCTAGAAGCAATTCCCAAAGAAAACAACTCTCCAGAAACATTGGAAGGATGTCAGTTTGGGGAAAAAGTTGATCAGCAGGAACTTCAAGTGCTCTTGGAAAAGGATGAGCAGCCCCAACTTCTAGAAACAATTCCCAAAGAGAACTCTCCAGAAATATCAGAAAGGAGTCAGTCTGCAGGAACCAGTGAAGAAAAGCAAGCTCAGGAAACACCAGGAAAAGATGAGCAGTCCCAACTTCTAGAAACAGTTCTCAAAGAGAATGCAACACCAGAAATATCTGACAGAAGTCAGCTTGTGCAAACACCTGTCACAAATGATCCACTCCGTGAAACTCCTGAAGGTTCCAGAAACGTAGCAGAATCTCAACCCGAAGAAACAGTTGGATGCAGAAAGCATCCAGCAGGAATTGCAGAGGCAGCAGCAAATATGGGAATGAGCAGAAAAGCCCGCACTGTTAAAGAGGAGCAACACATTGAAGGTAAAATGAGGCTAACTGAGGGTGGGACTGTTCAGATGGGCTCCCAGGGAGGTCAGCTCTGGGGCAGGGGTGCCGATATACCGTCACTGAAGTCTGTGTCCATGGTTCAAATTCACTTGACTCAAACCAAAAAGGCATCCGTTTTGGGAAACACATGCCCTCAAGACTTAGTTCATCTTCCCTGCATTCATTTCTAGAGTATAGGTTGTGTTGAACTATGTACTTCATTTCTCTTTTTGGTGTGTGTACACAGATGTACATGTCCATGTGGGTGTGTGTCTGTAGAGGCCAGAGGTCAAGGTTGGGTGTCTTCCTCAATTGCCTATCACCTTATTGTCTTTGAGAACAGCTCTTTCAATGAACTTGGAGCTTGTTGACTCAGCTAGGCTTCAGGGGTCTGCCTGTCTCTACTCACCCCAGTGCTGGGTCACAGATGTATATTGTTGTACCCAGCTTTTACATGGGTGCTGGGGATCTGAACTCAGGTCCCTGTGATTCTATGAAAGGCATTTTATTGATTGAGCCAAATCCCCAGCTCCTGTGTCCAAATTTTTCAACTTAAGTTTGTTAGTTAAATAGAATCAATCATTGAAGGCAAGGGCTTTTCCAAATTCAGTCTTTATCTGAGGATCCAAGGTTAGGTTAGAGGAGGAGCTGACCTTCCAGTGAAAGAATACACAGAGTAGAATGCATTTTCACCTTGGCCGATCTTCTTTGAAAATTGCTATCACTCTGCCGCTGTCTCCTCTAGTCTTTTTTTTTCTTAACATTTTCTGTGTCTTGCACATGTGAGGCATGTGTTCTACTGCTGAGCTACACACACCATACACCACACACACACACACATACACACACACACACACAAATTAATAATGATGAATTTATGTTGATGAGCATATAACATAAATACACGCTTTGGGCCATTAACATCATAAAGGATAGAGGAAGGTTTAGAAATACAAAGATTTTGTATACTATTGAGACTAAGTTTGATTTGACTTTTAGAACTATATTGCTAAAAACCAAGATGGTGCTGGGCGTGGTGGCGCATGCCTTCAATCCGAACACTTGGGAGGCAGAGGCAGGTGGATCTTTGTGAGTTCGAGGCCAGCCTGGTCTGCATAGCAAGTTCCAGGACAGCTGGGGCTACGGGGAGACCCTGTCTCAAAAAGACGAAAAAAAAAAGAGTGGAAAAGTAGGGATAAGAAATCAGAGACCAAAGACCAAAGCCTGGCGTGGTGGCACTCATCCTCAATCCCAACACTTGGGAGGCACAGCCTGACAGATCTCTGTGAGTCTGAGGCCAGCCTGGTCCATTTAGTGAGCTCAAAAAGACTAAATAAATAAATACCAAAAGATTTGCCAACATGGGGTCAACTTTGGTGGAATAATGAATAATGAAGGTTTGCATTAGCTCTCTTCTTTTGTTTTTGTTTTTAAATCCTAACTAGTTTATTGGGTTTGCTAACAGCATAGGGTGGTGGGGGTTTTCAACTCAATGTTTTTTCGGTGTCTAACTATATTTGAGGTGCTGAGGGTACAGAATGAGTCTCTGTTCTCAGGGGTTTTATAGTCTGTGGTGGGAGGCAAAATGTAAATGAACCATCTAAATGTAAATGGTACCATCTATTGGGGCAAATGCCTTAATAGAAACACATAAAAAAGGGCTGCTGGAAGAAGGGGAGGAGGCAGGGAAAGGATCAAAGTCATTATTTTTAGACCAGGGTTGGCTGGCAAAGCCAACAGTTTGGGTGCGGGTCCGGGAAGAAATATCTGAAATTCTGTGATTAGAACCCCAGGAAAACTCAGGTGAGCACATCCAGTGTTGCCCAAACTGACTTTTTAGGGAAACAGATCTGTATGTGCAATGTGAAGACTTTCAACTGTTGGCAAGCAGATCATATTTAATGAACATTGTCCTCACACCTTCCAAATAAAAGTGACTTTGTATGTGGTGTATGCACATGCGTGTGTGGGTACATGTATGTGTGGGGGCCAGAGGAGGACACTGGATATCCTGCTTTATCATTTATTGCCTTGAGACAAGGTCTCTCACTGAGCCTGGAACTCACTGTGTAGACCAGTCTGGCCTTGGTCTCACAGAGATCCAGCTGCCTCTGCCTCCCAAGTGCTGGGACTAAAGGTGTGCACCACCATGCCCACCCGTAAATGCAACTTTTTAAACACTTCTATTTCTTGGGTAATTCTGCATCCTGATTTTTAAGAGTATGCCAAGACCCAGGGGTGTTAATAAGCGACATGACATCGGCCACTCGAGTGGCTCTGAGGGAATGGGAGGATGCCTGCATGACATCATCAAAGAAACCTATGTAGACCTACAGGGTGAAAGCCATCCCCAGTGCAAACAAACTATGGGGTGGTTTGTTGTTAGTGCTAAGTGAGCATCGCTAATGTCTCCTTTGGTTCCTTTTTCTAGGTGAGACAGGAGAAAAAGTGGGAGCAGAAGTGAAGAACAAAGCAGCATGTGAAGGGGATGAGACAAAAGAAGAAGAAACAGGAGATGCCCTGGATCTTTCAGCAGCTGGGGATAGTGACAGAACTGGTGCACAGAGCATGTTATAACAGAGGACAGGAGCACTTAGGCTGTGGGGACAGATGCTGTCTGCACCAGTGTGTGTCATAGGAGAATGATGCTATGTTTTTTTGAGTGTGTTATTACATACAACTGCTAAGCTGGAAACAGTTCCCTTGGGTACTGAGGATAAATATGCATTTAAAGTGACAATTAGGCAGAACCAATAAAAACTGCAAGGTCATTTAAGAGTGTGAAAATGACTTTCTTCATTGTGAGTCCATTCAGGATAAAATGAGACCCTAAAAAGAAGGTATAGACTTTAAATGTTAAGTGGCTAGAAAGAGGAATTAGCAAATTTTAAGAAACTCATGATAATAGAGGGAGTAAGAATGAAGAACACCAAAAAGCACAGGACAATCTTTACTTATTATTTCTATTTTGTGGTGGAAATTACAACTGATGGGAACTTTGGAAAGTCTGTAATCTACTTTCTCTCTCAGTCTGTTTCCATAGATCACTACGCACCATGGCATATTAAACAGGAACAGTTTCCAAAGGAATGCAAACTCTGGCGCTATGGCAAGATTTGGCATTTTCTACAAGGGAAGGCGTCATGTTTTCCATGTGCCATTTGGAATCAGCTGATGGATTTTACACATGTGAAGTGCCTTAGTCGGTGTTTTTTGTTTTGTTTTTTTTTAGTTTTAATTTTTTTGGCTAACACTGAAAGAATTTTAAATTACTTGACTTTTAATGTATTTCAGAGGCAAAAGAAAAGAAAGAATGCTTAGTGGTTAAAGCCCTTGCCACCCAACCAAAGAACTGGAGTTGGATCTCCAGAAACCATGCAAACGCTGGGTGGGCATGGCAGCATGCCTGCAATTCTATCCCAGAAGGCAAAGAGAGGGATCCATAGGGCAAACTGGCTAGGGCAAGAGGCTAGCTATATTGGCAAGGGTTTGATTGAGAAACCTGCCTCAAAGGATATGATGGGAAAATGACTGAGGGAGAATTTTGATATCAACCTCAGACCTCCACATAGCACACATATGCATAGCATCTGCACACTCATGCATCCATACATGTAAGCATGCATACGCACATACCACACACACACACACACACACACACATACACACACAGGAAAAAAGTCCTAACTTTATTGTTTATGTGGACTTTTCCTGAGCCCTGTTATCTTTTAATGACTGCAAATTAATATTAGGTTTTAGAGGTGGAGAGGAGCTAAGAAGTCAAGATTTTGAAAGCATTTCTAATGTTTTTTGTTAGTATTAAAATAATGCATCCTGGGGCTAGAAAGCTCAGCAGTTAAGAGAACTTACTGTTCTTGCAGGGCCCTGGGTTCAGTTTCCAGTATCTACATGGTGTGTTTCACAACTGTCTGTAGCACATTTCTACATGGTGTGTTTCACAACTGTCTGTAGCACATTTCCAAGGGATTCAACACTTGCACACACGTGATGTACATATATACATGCAGGGAAAACACTCATACATGTAAAATAAAAATAAATAACTCAAAAAGTTAAAAAAATTATATATCAAAGAAAGTAATCGTTCCAGAATTCTTTCAAAGTAGGCAAGGGATTTTGGTAAATGATTATATGTAAGTAACAATATAACAATATAATCATTTGTCTTTTTTTTTTTTTTTGGTATTTTTGAAATAGGGTCTCTCTATAGCCCCAGCTGGCCTGGAACTCACTTTGTAGACCAGGCTGGCCTTGAACTCACAGAGATCTGCTTGCCTCTGCCTCCCAAGTGCTGGAATTAAAGGCATGTGCTAGCATGCCTGGCTCATTTGCTCGTTTGTCCTTTGTCAAGAGCCTTGTGTTTATGGATATTGAGGTAGGCTTATGGAAATGTTTAGTATGCCATTTTTGTAAGTACCTTTTTTTTTTTTTTTTTTTTTTTTTTTTTTTTTTTTATCACTATGTAGCTCTGGCTGGCCTGGAAATTGTTACGTAGATCAGGCTAGTCTCAAATGCACAGAGATCCACCCACCTCTGCTTCCTGAGTGCTGAGATTAAAGGCCTACACTACCATCTACCATGCCTGGCCCTGTAAATACGTATATATATTATAAACTTATTTAAACCATATTTTCGGGGGATCTTTTTGAGACAGGGTCTCTCTGTAGCTCCAGCTGGCCTGGAACTTGCTATGTAGATCAGGCTGGTTTGGAACTCACAGAAATCTGCCTGCCTCTGCCTCCCAAGTGCTGGGATTAAAGGCGTGCGCCACCATGCCTGGCTGTAAATACATATTTTTAAGGTAACTGCTCAGATGAATCAACTAGAATCTTTTACTTTAGTGTCTACATTAAAATGACTGCTAAGGTGGCCTGTGACTAATTGTAATGATACAGAGTAAAGGGAATATTATCAGTGTTCTGCTTCTTCCTCTGACAAAATCTTCCAATAGACAAGAGGAGTTCCTTGAGCAGACGACAAAATTTACCTGCAAAATAAAGAGGCCAGACTGTGATTTCATTATGAGCGAGCACTGTTTTATGTGTCTTTGAATTCAGGCATTTAGCTCCTTTAATAGAACATAAAAGATCCTCTAAGCATTTGTTTAGTCAATAATGCCAATGATTCCCATTTACCAGGAAAAAATATTGAAAATATTTATGTTCAGGGTAGTTCTCCAAACATTTTATGGTCAGAAAGTGATGTTAATCAAGAAGTGATATAACTTACCTTTCAAGCTACATTTATTTGATCTAAGGGTTTTTCCTGAACAGATGTTTTCATACAGGTATTTACTAAGGAGAAAATATTAGAACAGATACATATGTGTGGTGATAAATATGCTAATTAGCTTGATATAATTACTCCAGAATATATACATATATGTATTGTACTTCACAGTTATTAAAAATAAAATTAAAAAAAGGTAGGGGCTTGGTATAAAATATAAATGATCATCTTAACAGTGGGATCATTCTTTGTAGCAGACTCAGATGGGATGGCTACTTTAACAGGTGCAAAGTCCATTACCTAGTGGGTGGCTTATTGTTTTAAAAAAAATCTTCAACGTATGTTAAAAAGATCTATTCAAGACTCATTCTTGATGTATTTTTTAAAACGGTCTTGACATGTAGCCCTAGGCTAGCCTGGAACTTAGAGTAAGCTTAGAGTAAGCTCCAGGCTGGCCTCAAACTCACCATCCTCCTGCCTGCCTCCTGAGTGCTGGAATTATAGGTGTGCTCCATCACACACTGCTCAAAATTCATTCCTCTTTTGAGACAGGATCTCATTTAGCCAAGGCTAGCCTCCACTCACTGTGCAGTCAAGTATGACTTTGAATTTCTGATCCTCCAGCCTCCTCTTCTTGAGTTTTGGGATTATAGGTGTGCACCACCACACTAGGTTTATAAAATTCATTCTTGAAAGAACTCTCTCAAAAACTATGATATAGCTCTAATGTAAAAATTCCAGTGTCTACTAATTCTATTACTTTCTATTAGTGACTCAAATAATTTTTCACTTTTGAAATTTTGTACACTTCTGGTACTTTCTGTACTTTTGCCTTTAATGTGGCTACTAAGACATTTTTAGAAATTAAAAAAAATTTTAGAGATTAAAAAAATGTATGATCATTTTATAGCCTCGTTTGTGCCTTAAGATAGCATCATTTTTTTCCATACTGTCCCTAAGTGGAAGGGAAATGAACAGTGCTTTCCTAAGTAGCATCCTCAGCAGGGAATGAGTTGTCTGGTCAAAAATCTAGGAAATAACCAGGCCAGATCCCAAAACCCTTGGCTAGAAATGCCAACCACTTGGCCATTGGATAGAAGGTGTGGCACCCATGATATTCTTTTCCATTTAGAGAGTAAGAGCTCTTAGCTTCTGAAGCAGCCAAAATACCCATATCATTGTTAACAGATGTTTAATTTTAACTCAGGCTTGAATTGAGTGCTGCTTTTAAAGGGAAATTTTTCCCACACTTAAATGATTAGAGAATGCTGGATGGCATAGCCAGATAACCCTAGCAGGGTTTACACTTGTGCTTTTGGAGATTTCAAGCATATCATTTCTTTTTTTTAATTTAAAAAATTTTATTTTATGTGTATGAGTGTATTGCTTGCACGTATGTGAATGCACCTGTGTTGTGCAGTGCCACGGAGGTCAGAAGAGGGTTTCGGATTCCCCTGGAACTGGAGTTAAGGACGGTTCGTAGCCACCATGTGGGTACTGGGAATCAAACCCGAGTCCTCTGCAAGAGCAGTCAGTGCTCCTAACTGTTTAGCCATCTCTCCAGCCCCAAGCATACCATTTCTATAAGGACAGCTGGGCCTAAGCCTCTTACTAGAAAGTCACAGGCTCATAGGTGACCTTTGAAACTGTCACCAATGGGAGGACAAAGGAATTGATTTTAACTAATAATTATTTAATAGGTCAGTATGGGTTAATTTCAAATTTCCTAACTATCAGAGGCATTGAACATTTTGGGAGAGGTGGGTAAAAATAAGTTTCTATCCAGTTACTGTCTAGAACACAGGATTATTTATGTATAATTACGAGGAAAATTTATTGAAAACATTTTTCTCAGTAACAAATATGTTCATTATAGAAACAAGAAAAATATAAACTTTGAGATGAAACTAAATATTATCTATAATTTAATCAGAAATCACTGCTTTTAACATATGTATATGAGAGAGTATTTTTCTTTTGTTCACAAAACTTGTAAGTGGAAACACAACTATTATTGAAACATCACGTCCACTGAATGACTGTGCACTGCTTTTCTGGATTCTTCTTAGAATCCAATACAGATAATAGTTATAGAGAAGGTTCCAGTAATATTTGCTACGATAGTAAATATAAATTAGTGCTGTAGAAGATAGCTGTGCCTAAGTTGCTAAGTGCTCTAAGCTGATAGTGAGTTATGACGTATGACAGATAACAGTTCACTGAAATGGGACATTTGGAATTATTACTTTTTTTCCCCTTGCACTGGGGATTGAACCCAGGGCCTTATATATGCTAGGAAAGCACTCTACCACTGAGCTATATCCTTAGCCTTGGAATTGTTTGTGAAAATACTTAAGAGGACTGAGGTTCCTAATTGCTGAACAAATTAGCAGTGAGGGCACTGTAAAGCTTTTGGAGGGTGGGAAAGGAGTGGTCATACTTCATGTTTCCCAAAGGGCCTGAAACAAATTTGGCATCCTCTGAGTACCAGCTGGTGACAGGCATTCTTTGTCATTATATAAGCCTGGTGGTTTCCCTACAACTAGAATTAGCTGTAGAAGAAATTATGGCCAAAATTTTATAAAATCATTTTGTATGTTGGTTCAACATTTATAATTTTGATTAAGCAAATATGTTACTAGAACTAATAAAGTATTTGAAAGCATACTCTGGTGTATTTAATCTGAATTGTTATTACACAGGACACAGTATTTCTTTTGATGTCCTTCAGGCAAAAAGCATACTTTATATATCCTAAGGATTTTGACAACAGTAAAAAAAAGTATGGGTGACTTTAAAATTTTTTTTATTTTTAGGTATCTTACATTTCAAAGAGACTCATGTCTGTGGTTTACTTTTTATTTTATTTTATTTTATTTTTTTGAGGCAGGGTTTCATGAGGCGGGGTCTCATAGTCCAGGCTGTCCTAGACCTTGTGTAACCGAGGATAACCTTGAATTTCTGATTTCTCAGCCTCTACCTCTTCACTGTCAATATTACAGGCATGGGGGCTGGAGAGATGGTTCAGCACTTAAGAGCACTGGCTGTTCTTGCAGAAGACCTGGGTTTGAATTCCAGCACTCACATGGAAGCTAACAACCATCTGTAACTCCAGTTCCAGGGACTCTGACGACCTCTTCTGACTTTCATGGGCATTGCACAACACAGGTGCACCTACCTACATGCAGGCAATACATGCATACACATTAAAAAAAAAACAACTAGCTGGGCGTCATGGTGCAGGACTTTAATCCCAGGGGAGGCAGAGGCAGAGGCAGGTGGATCTCTGTGAGTTCAAGGCCAGTCTGGTCTACATAGCAAGCTTCAGGCCAGCTGAGGCTACAGGGAGACTCTGTCTCAAAAAGACCAAAAAAAAAAAAAAAATTACAGGTATGCGCTATATCCCTTGTTTATTGAAAATATACTTGAAGGGCCAACATGTTCTTTTTTTTTACATTTAACAAAATTCATTGCTTCTTTGTTTGAAAAGAAGATTCAAGGTCCTGACACACACATCATTTAACATGGATGCCTGCATCTCCTCTTATTTCCAGCTCTTAATCTGGGATTTGGTTTTTTAATTTAAGTTTTTATTATTTTAAGTGGAATCTTTCCAATATTTATTTGTACCAGGCTTCTTCACATGTTCCTTAAACTCAAATGGTAGCTCTCCAGTTTGACCGCTGAGGCACACATCCGAGGGTGTTTGACCAATCACACCCCTTCCGTGCATACTTCTTTCATATACTGTTATTGCAGCAGACATGTCCTCATTAGCAGTCTGCTCTGGAACTTGGTGCACTTCACACTGGCTATGGTGTTCATATTCACAGTCTCTCTTAATCACCTGAGTTTTCATTTTTTCTCTGGAGATTTTTGTAGTCCTCTTCAATGTTTTCTTCATCTGTTTTCCTATGGAGATCAGATTCATCACATCACTAGAGTTTTTTTTTTTTACTAGAATTCAACAAAGCCCACTCTCCTCTGGTGAAGATCACCACCACATCCTCAAAGGTCACTTGCTCCATTTTCTGCATCTGATGCACCCAGGTGTTCCTCCATAGAAGTCTGATGTCAGGATAAGTAAGTCACCGGAGAAGTAGCCGCCACACTTCTATTTTTATTTTTTAATGTGTATGTGTGGTTTGCTTGCACATATGTAAGTGCACCTGTGTGTGCAATGCCTGCAGAGGCCAGAAGAGGGCAATGGATCCCCTGATACTGGAGTTATGGATGGTTGTTAGTCACCATGCAGGTGCTGGGAACTGAACTTGGGCCCTCTGCAAAAGCAGCCAATGCTCTTAACCGCTGAGCCATCTCTCCAGCCCCTACTTTTTTTTTTTTTAATATTTTATTTTGTTTTTATTTTATGTGTATGTGTGTATTGCCTGCATGTAAGTAAGTGCACCCATGTCATGCAATGACCACAGAGGACAGAAGAGGCTGTCAGATCTCCTGAAACTGGAGTCATGGACAGTTGTTAGCTGCCATGTGGGTGCTGGGATTTGAACCCAGGTCTTCTGCAAGAACAGCCAGTATTCTTAACCGCTGAGCCATCTCTCCAGCCCCCATGATCTACTTTTAAGAGTGAAAAAAAAAATAGAAAATCAGAAATAAATTTTGAGAACAGGAACAGCTGGAGATTTAATTTCATGATTCCATTCCTCTTTTACTATGAACTAAGTGAACAAAATCACACCAAAGAAAAGCTAGACATTCATTCATTTTATTTCCATTAGAAAAATATTATCTGTATAAGATTTTGGTCCACTTTATTCTTCTCTACTCTACCTGTACCATTCATATTAGAATATTTTAATTCCACATATCTAATATGAACGAACTATATCAGTAAATTAATATAATTTAATATAATCGGGTGAGCTCATTATTTGTCAGGAGCAACACTTCATCTTTCCTGAAGAACTCATCTTTCTTTCTGTCTCTTTTATCTAAGTAACTGCATAAGGATCTTCCCTCATTCAGAAACGTGTTATTTATGGCATTAATGGATTCAATAATCCCTGATTCATTTCAGATCTCCATATTTCTGGTAATTTCCATGATAACTTCAGCTATTTTGGTCACATTTATACTTTCCAACATCAATCATAAAAATTAAGGTGTTAAAGACACTAAAGTTTCCAGTGTCAACAATGGTGTGGCCACTTATAGTCATGCTGTTGTGAAAGGTCCCTGGACAGCTATGGCTTCAATCTCAATTCGACTTCCCTGTAAGGAAAATACAAAAACACAGTATCTTGATCATTTCATACAAATTAAAAGAAGGTTCAGTAATGCCTTTTAAAAATCATATACAACTAATAATAAAATAGCATTTTTACCAGTAATATCTTTAAAGGCAAAGAATACAGAAAATTTAGTAAGAACCCATGATTGTTCAGACTATGCTGGGCACATTCATTGTTAGCTCTGCTGAGCCTCATAGCAGCCCTGTTCATAAAGGGGGACACTGAAGCTTAAAAAATGTGATGAAGTGGTCTCTCTACTCATAGAGGTAAAAGGATCAAACCCATGCCTTAGGATTCCAAGTTTAGGGCTCCTTCAACTGCACTCAGTATCTTAAGTTGGACGATGATCATTCCAAGTGACAACTAATTAAAGCAACAACAGCAAAAGTGCCACTATTAGAACATACATTTTCTTTTTTTAAAATATTTTATTTATTATTTAAAAATTTTTTATTTTATGTGTATGCGTGTAATTGCCTGCATGTAGGTAAGTGCACCCATGTCATGCAATGTCTGTGGAGGATGGAAGAGACTGTCGGATCCCCTGGAACTGGAGTCACAGACAGTTGTTAGCTGCCATGTGGGTCCTGGGATTCGAACCCGGGGTTTTCTGCAAGAACAGTCAGTGTTATTATCTGCTGAGCCATCTCTCTCCAGCCCCAGAACATACATTTTCTTTAGGGCAAGTTACAAATTGCTGTCAGTAAGAACTGCTTTTTTAAAAAAAAGATATATTCATTTTTATTTTATGTGTTTTACTTGCATGTATGGAAGTGCACTACATGCTTGCCTGGTGCCTGTAGAGGCCAGAAGAGGGTACTGGATCCCTTGAAACTGGAGTTACAGGTGGTTATGAGTCACCATGTAGGTGCTGGGAACCAAACCCGGGTCCTCTGCAAGAGTAGCCAGTGGTCTTAACCACTGGGCCATCTCTCCAGCCCCAAGAGCTACTTTTTTATACCAGAGATATGGTGTTGGCACAGGAAAAAGGTTCTCGTGAGGGAATACTAAAACTAGAATGGTGACATTTATGTGTCATTCATTTAGAAAACCACGTGACATTTTTATTGTACAACTAAGAACCCAGCACAAATTTATAGTTCTCTAAGTAACAAGAATAACACTGCTCTTAAGCCTTTTCTCACAAAGCACTGTGATTGTGTCATGTTTATGTGTTGCTTTATAAATTTTCTTAATTTTTTTCCAGGCATAAAATATGGGTGTTTAAGATTTTATACATCTGAGATGCAGGGACTATACCCTTTCCTTTATTTTAAAATTTTCTTTCACAGTGATTCATTCAGGATATGCAGAATAGAGCATAGCAATTTGAACTGGCAGACATTAGCCATTTCACAGTGTACTTACCTTGGGTAGAGCAGCAACCTGGTAAGCAGCTCTAGCAGGAAAGTCACTCTTGAAATCTGAATTTAGAAAAATTTCATTTTAGTTTCCAGGCAATGAGCTCTTATTCAACATTGCAAAACCAAAAATCTGGTCAGTGCTTCATGGACTACTTCATTCTAGATACAAGCAACAGTTTAGAAAAGAAGCTCACATCTAGGTTTGTATGATGAAATATTTTGCCATATGATTCACGATATTTAATACTGTTTAGTCTCTTTTAGAAAAAAACTGAAATGCATACTCTGGCATTTTGGTCCAGTTTGATGAGACTGGGTTTGGTCTTTACAGTGATTGTTACAAGCCAGTTATTCTAGAGAGGGAGCAACTCCCTATTTTCGGCAAGTATTTTCTCATAACTTTGGCCTTTTCTGGTCATTTCTTCTGGAGAGAATAAGTAATGATTTTTTTTCCAGGTCATACCTTTCTCTCATCCCACCAGGTGAAAGGAACACCCATTTCCCCACTGTAACAATGATAATACAGTAGCATTTACTCAGTTCTTACAACATGCCAGGATCAGTTCCAAATATATTACAGGGTAATCCATTTAATCACTCCAACAGCCCTTGAGGTAGTCGAATACTGTCCTCACTTTTCATATGAGGAAATGAAAGTACAGAAATGTTAAGTAGCCAGCTAATAATACTGGGACAGTCAAAATTAAGCTGCTGGCTAGACCATATTATACCACTAGTAAATGCAACCCATATGTGCTGGCTTGAATGAGTGTCCCTCACAGGCTCCAAGTATTTAAGTCATGGTGGCACTGTTTTGGGAGGTTTAGGACATGTGGCCTTGCTGGAGAAGGCACACCACTGGGGCTTTGAGAGTTTACAGCCTTGTCCCATTTCCAATTTTGCCCTTTCCTGTGTCTGTCTGAAGATGTGAGCCTGCAGCTTTCTGCTCCGGCTGCCTCCTGCCAACGCCTCTCCTGCTATGATGGACTCTTATCACTCTGGAACCATAAGCCAAATAAACTCTTCCTTCTATAAGTTTCCTTGGTCATTGTGTTTTATCACAGCCACAGAAAAGTAACTAATACACTGTATGTCTAAAAATTTTTTAAGAGGGCTTAAAATGCCTAAGAAATAATAAAATTAAACTTTAAGAGAATAGATTTGTAGGGTTTATGTATATTATTTTAGAAACGGCAATAGATCTTTTTCATGAGGGTATGCCATATGTTTCCAAGCAGATTATGAGTTGTTTCAGGGCAAGGCATCATTTTAAGATCTTCTGTCACTTTCCTTGACAATGGATACTCATTTATTTTAGCAGATTTATGTCTCTCTAAAACAGTAAGCAGGGAGGCTGGAGAGATGGCTCAGTGGTTAAAAGTACTGGCTGCTCTTGCAAAGGACCTGAGGTTGATTACCCAGCACCCACATGGTGGCTTACAACCATCTGTAACTCCAGTTCCAGGGTATCTGATGGCCCTCTTCTGGCCTTCACAGGCATTGCATGCATGGGATGTATATACATGCAGGCAAAACACTCATACACGTAAAAACTAAAAGGAAAATAAAAACAGTAAGTAGGAATAAAGCCAAATTACTTACACGTTTTGTAGATCTCATTGACAGTATTGAAGTCATTCATGTCAGCCAGCAAAACAGTTGTCTTTACCACTAGAAGAGTCACACATTTTCATTAGGTTTAGCGTCCTTGGACTCACAACATGACTTAGCAATAACTATATGATTTTATGATTTTCTTGATGAAAATAAGACTGACATGAAATTGAACAAGTAAAAGTGTTTCCCAGACCATTAAAAGAACAACTTTAAAAAGCAATAAAGATACTAAATGACATATTATTGATCCCACATGTTCTTCATACAGAACAAGGATGTGACTCAATGGTGGAATGCTTACCTAACATGCATGAGGCCCTGAGCTTGATCCTGAGTGCTACAAACAACACTAACAACAAAATCTAGCAATTACCAGTGAAGAGCAAGTTGCTCACCGTTAGTGAAGTCGCACCCTGCAGCTTTCAGAACTTCACCGATGTTTTTAAGAGCCTGTGAATCAACGCAAGAAAGATGAAAGGCCCTGATGTTATATGGTGGCTTTAACTGATGTGACTATACAAGTCAGTTAGTACTTGGTTTTTCTTTCATGGACTGAATCTTTCTGAAATGCAGTGAAAAGGCTGTATTATTTGAAAGAAAATTGGACTGGGGAGAGATGTGGTGGCAGACTCCTGCAATTCCAGCACTTGGGAGGTTAGGGCAGGAGGATGGAGAGTTTAAGGTCATCCTATGGTTACAAGGTGAGTTCAGGGCCAGCCTGGGCTATATGAGACCCTGTCTCAAAAAATAAAACAATGTCCTACCTCACCCCCAAACACTCAGAAAACCAAACCAATATTGAGTTATATATATGTTTGACACTGAGGTCTCTGAAAACGTTTTTTTTTTTTTTTTTTTTTTTGGTCTTTTTGAGACAGGGTCTCCCTGTAGCCCCAGCTGTCCTGGAACTCAGTATGTAGACCAGGCTGGCCTTGAACTCACAGAGATCCACCTGCCTCTGCCTTCCAAGTGCTTAGATTAAAGGTGTGCGCCATTGCGCCCAGCAAACATGAGGTTTTTAAAGAAAGATTTACTTATTCTTTTTTTTTAACTTAAAAATTTATTTTTTTATTTTATGTGTATGTGTGTATTACCTGCACGTATGTAAGTGCACCCATGTCATGCAATGCCTGAGGAGGTCAGAAGAGGCTGTCAGATTCCCTGGGACTGGAGTTACAGACAGGTGCTAGCTGCCATGTGGGTGCTGGGATTAGAACCTGGGTCTTCTGTAAGAACAACCAGTGTTCTTAACTGCTGAGCCATCTCTCCAGCCCCCTACTTATTTATTCTTATTTATATGTATATGTATATGCCTGAATGGGTTTATATGCATTGAATTTATGTGCTGAGGTCAGAGAGTATATGATCCTCTGGAACTGAATGCAGTTGGTTGTGAGCTGCCTAATATGGGTACTGGGAAACAAATCCAGGTCCTTTGCAAGAGCAGTAAGAGCTCTTAACTGCTGAGCCATCTCTCCAGCCCCTTGCCCCCCAAACACCGTTTTTAAACCCTAGCCTCAACTTAAGTCTTTTCAATTTATTTTTCCTCTTCACTTTTTTGATAACAATATAATATTTTGTTTTAGAAATATTTATTATTATTTTTTGAGACAGGGTCTCACTGTGTAACCCTGACTGGCCTAGAACTCAGAGATCCTCCTGCCTGTCTCCTGAGTACTGGGATTAAGGTATGCACCACCATACCCAGTCTATTTTTGTTATTTTTAATTATGTATCTGTGTGTGTCTGTGTATATGTACATGATCACAGGTGACCACTAGAGGCCAGAGGCGTTGGAGCCTCTTGGAGCTGGAGTTATAGGTAACTGTGAGGTATTCAACATGCATGCTGGGAACTGAACTCAGTCTTCTGCAAGAGCAGTATGTGTTCTTGACTGCTGAGTCATCTCGCCAGTCCCTTTTCTTGTGTGTTTGGGTAGTACAAGGATGAAGTAAGCAATTCAAGACCTATAAAAAAAAGCACATACAACTGGGCATGATGGCACAGTGCCTTTAATCCCAGTATTTGGGAGGCAGAGGCAGGAGGATCTCTTGAATTTAATACGGGCCTGGTATCCATAGCAAGTTCTAGGTCAGTCAGTGCTGCGTGAAAAGGTTTCCCCCATTCCTACTTCCAGTTCCCTGAAATAGCCCCTATCTCAAGTTTCTTTTATATCCTTCTAAAGATAGCTAGTGCTTATACCAGTGTAAACACACATCCACACACACATGCACACACACACACATTCTTATGTATCTATCCCAGGCTGACTTCAAACACTCTATGTAGCTGAGGATGATCTTGAACTTTTGATCCTTCTGCCTCTACCTTCCAAGTGCTAGGATTACAAGCATGCACCACCACAACTAGTTTTATGTGGTGCTGGGGGTTGAATCTAGGTATTTGTGCATGGTAGGCAAGTACTAATCTAACTGAGCCACATCCTGATCCCCAAACATGCATATTGTTAAGCACGTAAATATATACACACAGTAGCATATTATGCATATCATCCTGTATCTTGGTTTTAATTTATCATACAGCATTTTCTATTAGAGATATTTTCATATTAACTAGTTGCATAGACCTAGGATAAGTCATTCCAGTTCCATAGAGATATTTGGGTTATGTTCTATTTTGAGCATTACAAATGACTCAGTGAATGCATTAAATTATAATTTAAGGGAGGTGCTATGGGAGATGAGGATGGGGAGAAGGCCTAAATATGATCAAGATGTATAGTGTATGGAATTTGCAAAAATTCAAGAAAAATTATAATCTAATTCTGTTAATGGATCAGAATTGTATTCCTCTTTTTGTGGTGCTAGAGATTAAAGTCGGTGCCTTGAGCATGCTACACAACTGAACTATATCCCTAGCCTCCATTTGTTTTTTCATTTAAGCCTTGATATTTTCCTCTTACTAATAGACACTGACTTTTTACTTTTGAGGTAGTGGCAGTTTTTGCTTTTGAGGAGCAGGGCAGGGGAGGGGAGGAAGGTTAATTGCCCTGAAAAGAAAATTTCCCAATCCATTTGGAAGTGTCAACACTTATTTGATTTTGATAATTCAGATAATAAGGAGGTAGAGTCACACTTTCTCTCTGTTACTGATTCCCTAAGCTTCCAACTTCTTAAAAAACTATCTTATATTAAGCAGTTGAGTAGCTTAGAAAGCATTTATCTGTTAATTTCTACAGAACAAAGCAGGGAAATGAATCGTTATCACTGTTCAACATCACAAAGCAATGAAAAAGAGAATGTTCAACATGGAAGAGGACTCACTTGCTTAGTTTCTTCGACTACCCCTCCTGGCACAAGCTGTCCACTGGAAGGGTCCATGCCTACCTGTCCAGAAATGTAAACGGTCCTGCCCACTAGCACAGCTTGACTGAAATGAGCAAAAAGACAACACGTACATAAAATAGAACACAAAATCCAATGCTAAAATATATTTTAACAGGACATAACAAATACAAGCTGTAAAATTTTTTTAAAAAATGGTAAACTTGACTTCAATAACATTAAAAACATTTGTTCATTGACAAGGTTATCTTAAAGGAAGTGAAAAGTCACGGACTGAGAGAAAAATATTTACAATATATCTCTAACAAAGGACTTGCACCCTGAATATATGAAGAACTCTTACAACTAACTAATAAAGGTAGACAACCCAGTAAAATGCAGGCAAATGATTTCAGCAGATACTTCAAAAAAGATACACAAAGAACTATGGAGTACTGGAAAGATGCTATTATTAGTCATTAGAAATTTGCAAATCAAAACCATAAGATGACAGAGGTAGCAAATTGATTCCACTAATATATCACATCAGTGATGATAATTTGCATTGGCAAACATGCAGAGCAACCAGAACCTGCATGTACTGTTAACACAACACACAACTGCGCAGCCAGTTTTGAAAACAATTGGTGGTTTCTGAAAACTTTAAACAAGCCCTCGACACACTACCTAACACTTTTTCCTCCCCCTAGGCAACTATCAGAAACACATCTGAGTCCTGGGCTGGAGAGATGGCTCAGTGGTTAAGAACACTGGTTGTTCTTGCAGAAGACCTGGGTTCGTATCCCAGCACCCACATGGCAGCTAACAACTGTCCATAACTCCAGTCCCAGGGGATCTGACAGCCTCTTCTGACCTCCACGGGCACTGCATGACACGGGTGCACTTACCTACATGCAGGCAATACATGCATACACATAAAAAAATAAAATAAAATAATAAATAAAATTTAAAAAAAGAAACACATCTGAAGACTGTATATTGTTTGATGTTGCTTATATGAAATTTCAGCAAAGACAAAATAATAGCAAAAAGGTTATTTGGGGGCAAGGGTAGGGGACTGAACACAGATGGTTACAGTTATGTGTTGCCACATAACTAAAGGAGCTGTGGTTCCCCTCCTGTGAGCTGGAGCTGTGGTCTCCTCCTGTGAGATGTAACTGTGGTACCCTCATAATAATATTGACTCCCAGTCCCAAGAGAGATGACTGGAATGGAGTGTGCGGCATCAGGTGCTCACCCACTGTTGAAGATTAGTGCATCTTTCAACTCTCACTGGAGAAGTTTCCTTATGCAGCAGGTGATTAACACAGAAACTTACGGCTTTCTAATGTGTGGGGAGGAGGGGGCTACAGAGCACTTATCTCTGAGTGGAACGCCCCTGTCAGACCTCTGGAGCACAAGGCTCTGGGATCATGGCAGAGGAGGACGTGGAAAGACTGCAAGAGCCAGAGGTGGTGGATGGCGATGGCGCGGGGATCAGGGGTAGGGGGTAGAGTTCTCCAGACTTTATAGACACACACAGGTGCCAAGGATCCAAGTGCAACCAATTATAACTAGTAATAATCAGATACATACAGATTAGAGATGCATGTGCCAACATCTCAGTAGCAAAAACAATGAGTCTTTCTGCAAGGAACAATATATTCTAAAATGAAATGGAGATCTTTTTTAAAGGTTAAAAACTCATTCAATTTTATGTCTTACAGGGCTTATACTGAGTTCAATATTGTATAACTGTATTAATTCAACTGTGAACCTAGAAACTTGCACACAGTTGAGAAAGAGATGTACTCTTATTCTGGAGTGTGTTACTGAATATGTTAAAGCTATAGTGAAAAGCTTCTTCTAATCATGTAGCTATTAAAAATTAAAAAAAAATGATTAAAAAATAATAACAATTCTTAAAAAAATTTACAGCCAATTTTGAAAAAAAAAAAAAAAGAAAAGGGCTGGTCGGTTATTCATGTGAACTCACAGCAATGGTGACAGCATGCACAAGTCCTATGCAAGCGTCAGTGGATGGACCCATACTGGAGAACATATGGGCATTCAAGATAGACTCTATAGGCTTTATTATATAGAGAGAGTACACAGAAATGAGTGGGGGGGTAATGTGGGGAGATGTGGATGGGAGAGGGGATATAAATGTCACCAAATTATATTGTATGGCCATCACAAAAATTCAATAAAAATGCTAAAAAAAAATGGCAGTTTTAAAGAACTTTCTCTTTTTTTTTTATTTTTTGGTTTGTTGAGACAGGGTCTCATGTAGCCCAGGCTAGTTTTGAACTAGCTAACCTTGAACTTCTGATTCTCCTATCTCCATCTCCAAAGCCCTGGGAATACAGTCATGCCACACCACACTCAGCTTTCAGGAACTTTTTTTTGTCTTTTTTGAGACAGGGTCTCCTTGTAGCCCCAGCTGTCCTGGAACGCACTATGTAGACCAGGCTGGCCTTGAACTCACAAAGATCCGCCTGCCTCTGCCTCCCAAGTGCTGGGATTAAAGGCATGCACCACCACGCCCGGCTGCTTTCAGTAACTTTTTAATGCCATTTCAAAGAGCCTGCCTCATGTGACAGCAAGTCCCCTTCTGATTCTATCCTGAGTATCTTAGACTCTAAACTTGAGAGCAGGGATGCCACAGTGCTAAAGCTTAAGGCCTAGGTGATTCTTTGTACATAGCAGGCATGCTGTAATTACTGCTCAGTGCTTGGCTCTCTAACTCCTCAGCATCAACAATTTTGGCTGTCAATGGCTTTCTTTTTAGCAGGCTCTGTTGGTTCATAATGTGGAATTTGAAATGCTAAAGGCAGACTTTGTGACAAGATTCAGAAAGTCCAGGAATTCTTCTCAACTATCTGGTTTTCTTTGACCCAGGTCCTCAAATGGATAACTACTGAGCTTGTTAATGTGTAACCATTTCTCAGGTTGAATAGCACTAACTAACACTATTGACTGTCTGAGTAGAATTAGGCCATCTGTCCTCTGCCCTTCACAAAGGACCTTCAGTTTGTCCACAATTGAAGCACAGTGTAAGGTCATGTGTATTTGTATTATCATTTATCAAAAACTTTATAGTAGTAAAAAGAAATCCATTTGTTCTCAGAATATCAAAAGCAAACAGCAGAGTTGAGACTAGTTGGGCTATGTGAGTTAGCTCTCAGATTCAGAGGGGTTCATTCACAAAAGTATTGGATACATGATACTTTCTGAGCACAAGAATCCTACTACCCACAACCAAGTTGTTAGGTCCCAGGATTTTTTTTCCTTTTAATTACACTTTATTTATTTATTTTTTATTTTTTATGTGAGTGTGTGTGTGTGTGTGTGTGTGTGTGTGTGTCTACCATGGTGCACAAGTGGAGATGATATGGCAACTTGTAGGAGTTGATTCTCTCCTTCCACTCTCTGGGCTCTGGGGACAGAACTCAGGTCGTTGGTCTTGGTGGCAGGCACTTCTACCTGCTAAGCCATCTTGCCTTCCCAGGTTCCAGAAACTTAAAAGCAAATTGTTTGGTGCATGCCTTTAATACCAGCACTCAGGAGGCAGAGGCAAGTGGATCTCTGTGAGTTCAAGGCCAGACTGGTCTACATAGCAAGTTCCAAGCCAGCTGGGCCTACAAGGCAACTTTGTCTCAAAACAATTAAAAAAAAAGCATTTCCCAGCCAAAGGTTAAACAGCATGGTAGTCCATGCCTGTAAACCCAAAGCTCAGGAGGAACATTACATGCATGAGGTCAGCCTAGGCTACATAGTGAGTTCTAGGTCAGACTACAGGGACTGACCTACTCTGGGACTACAGAGTGAGATTGTCTCAAAAAAAAAAAAAAAAAAAAAAAGCCCACAGAAACAAACATCAAAACCAAACCAACCTAAAAACAGAGCATAGTAAAACTTAGAAAAGCATTCTATTTAAGTCTCCTGCCATAATCTATGCCCCACTGTGGTGGCAGAACAGAAGGCAAAGCAGTAGCACTGGTGCTGTACTCCCCTGGGCTCTGTCCTCCAGGGTCCTGAAATGTACTGAGCTGACTAGCAATTAGTGACAACCCCTTCACCCCAATGCCAAGGACTGAAAAGCCCAACACATTAGAATTCTTTCTAGAGAGGACTCAAAGTTTCAAAGAGTATATTCATCACAAACTTCATGCACAAAAAACTTTATTTCCAAATAATTCCCAAAACATGTCCAATACACTTTTATCAGGTTATAAATAATGTGTTTTTCCCTTCAACATAAAATATTAAAAAACAAGTACCATTTCTAGTGACATATGTGTTTCGAAGCCTTCATAAGGAACACCTGGGGAGCCCCGCACTTTGAAGCTGCCTGATAGCTTTTCTCCTGCACACTGGTACCCTCTTGATGATTCTGTTTCTACTTGTAGCTTTATAAAAGTTACTTCACCAATTCCAATCAATTTGATATTACATTTTTTCTTTCTCCTTTTATTGCATGTATATGTGGTGTGTGGTATAGATGTGAGTACACATATTACCATGTGTGTGGTGCAATGTGAATGTTGGGGGGGTATGGGTGTTCCTGTGCTTGTGCATGTCCATGCTGACATCAGGCGTCTCCTTCGGTCCCTCTCTATCTTATATATGGAGGCCTCTCACTTGAACCCAAACTCACTGATTCATCTAGTCCAGCTAGACAGCTTGCTCTGGGGATGTCCTGACTCTGACTCCCATGTGCTGTCCCATGTGCCACTATCCTCCCCCACCCCAGTATTTATGTGGGTGCTGGAGATCTAAATTCCAGTCCTCATGCAGGGCATTTCTAAACAAGACGAGGGAAGGGAATGCTCTGTTACCAGGCTTCAAGACAAAGTGTCTTTACAATACCTTTGATTTGTTAAGGGGTGTCTTTTGTTCTGAAGTAAAGAAGTTATTCTAAATGCTATCACTGAATGACAGAAAGAGGGGGATTAGGGCAGAAGAGGGAAAAAAATTACTTATTTCACTTACATTGTAAAATTCTCTATTTTCATTTTTTTCCAAATTTCTCTCCGAATTACTCTCTTCTTAAAAGGTGGGTGTGGTGGTGCATGCCTGTAGTCCCAGCACTTGGGAGGCAGAGGCAGGCGGATCTCTGTGAGTTTAAGGCCAGCCTGGTCTACACAGTGAGTTCCAGGACAGCTGGGGCTACAGGGAGACCCTGCTGCAAAAAAGGCCAAAAAAAAAGGGGGGGGGTTGTTTATGTGCTCAAAACTATTTGATAGCTCCTCATTATAAGCAAAATCAACTTTGGTTTAAAATTAGAAATCATCACAACCTGGACTGTGCTAAAATGTACCTTTATTGGTCACTTCCTTACTTAAAATTATGAAGTAAGGTCACTGTTACATCCATGTAGGAGATAAAGAAGCAGACTAAGCATGGCAAAGTCACCCTGCAAGGTCACACAGTTAAAAAGAAGCAAAATAAAAATTTAAATCCAAAGTCCAAGTCTTTTTTTTTCTTTTTCCCTCCAAAGTCCAACTCTGAAGTGCATTTTCCAAAAGGCCATCCACAGTGAGCCACAGTAAGAGAATCATTCTCTTTTCACTTTTCTTTCAGTTCTAAGCTGCGGACGGCAAATGAAGTGGTTCAGATTGAGCTCTGGGGCCTCACTGTCTAATTTCAAATCAAATTACACCACTTTGTACAGTGACCGAAGGCAAATGATTCAACTTCATGTGTATCAGCTCTTTAATCTGAAAAATGGAGTCTGTAATAGTAACTGCACATGGTGTGCTTAGTGCTTAGAAAGCAACAGTAGATGCTAAGCAATTGTGACTTTGAGCCTTCCAACGACATTAAGGAGAAAAAAATATCCTTTATAGAAAACAAACGAGAAATAATCACATTTAAGGGACTGGAGAGATGGCTCAGCAGTTAAAAGCATTGACTGTTCTTGTAGAAGACCTGGGTTCGAATCCCAGCACCCACATGGTGGCTAACAACCATCTGTAACTCTAGTTCCAGATCAGATGCCTTCTTCTGTCCTCTGTGGGCACTGGATGACATGGGTGCACTTACACACATGCAGGCATAACACTCATACACATAAACTAAAATAAAAATACTAAAATATTTTAAATGTGATTATTTCTTTTTTAAAAATTAAAAAAAAATTTTTATTTTATGTGTATGAGTGTTTTGCCTGTGCGTATGTAAGTATACTTGTGTAGTGCAATGCCTGAGGAAGCCAGAAGAGGGCTCCAGATCCCTGGAACTGGAGCTACACATGGTTGTTAGCTGCTATGTGGGTGCTGGGAATTGAAGCTCTGCAAGAACAGTGCACTTAACAACTGAGCCACCCCTCCAGTCCCAACCACATTTTTCAAAAAACAATGTGACCTCATACATGTTCAACCAGGCCTTTCACTGAGCTACAGCCTCAACCAGAAATGCTTTTAATAAAGAAGGCAGGCCTGAGGTTTAGAACTAACTACAGACCAGAGCTGGTCTTTTTGAGACAGGGTCTCCCTGTAGTCCCAGCTGACCTGAACTCACTATGTAGACCAAGCTGGCCTTGAACTCACAAAGATCTGCCTCCGGAGTACTGGGACTAAAGGCGTGTGCCACCGCGCCTGGCGGATTGTTTTTTATTTAGAGTACTGTGACAGTTTCTTTTTAAAAATTAATTTAAATGAGAGTGAGCTATTTCAAAGAAATAGGAGTTATAATACAGCTGGTACCCAGTTTAGGAGAAAAAGTAACTGTCTTCTTAAAACCTTTATGCCATGCGTTCTTCTACCCAGTGCCCTCAAGCTATTTTCTGTTAGGAATGCAAGTTCTTAACAAATTAACTTTAAAGAGACAAACTTCACAACACTGCTACAAATGGCAAATCCAGTATTTAAAATTCAACCAAGGAGCTTTTCCAAATTTTTCTTCTTTCTTTGCCTCAACATAGAATCAACTTTTCTCTCCTTCATTTGTTCCTTGCTCCATTATCCTTTTATTTCCAATTTGCTAGTGTGAGGGAGCTAGGGTCTGAGTTCAAATCAAGATGTCACTGCAGTCTAGATGACCTTGAAAGAGTTGACCTTAACCTTTTTCTTTTGAAGAAATAGACCAAGGACTTAAGTGAGAAGGTGGTGGTTGTCCTGGGGTCTGCCATACAACATGGGATAAACAAATGCTTTTTTCTTTCCTTCATGTATGTGAAAGCCCTTCATGAACTGGATTACTCTTTACACATTTTTGTATAGTTCAAGTACTTAGCATGCAGTAGACATTCAATATACATCTGCCACAGTTCAAACGCTTCAACTGTAGAAAATTTCCAGTTCTGGTTAACAATGAAAAGACACTATCTCTGAAACCTCATTTTCAAAAGGAAAATTTGCTCTAGGATATACTGAAGAGTTAGAAATTATGTTAGAAAAGAAAAAACAAGGTTTTAACCTAGGCATGCTGGCCCCATCTCAGCCCATGAAGCCTGAGGCAAGAGAATGGCAGATTCTAGGCTAGCCTGGGACTACACAGTGAGACCCTGTAGTTCATGACCCCCGCAAAATGAAGTTAAAAAAATACAGAAGCACTTCTGGCAAGTGGAAATAAATGTACAAAGTTTTCTGCCCAGTACACATATGAGTAGCTATGGTATTTAGGGCAATCTCAGAAAATCACCTTTGTTACTCACACTTGAATGATTAGTGGTAAATAAGCATGGCCAGCAAGCCTTTAAACCCAGCCTTCAGGAGAGGCAGGTGGATTTCTGAGTTCCAGGCCAGCTTAATCTACATGAGTTCCAGGCCAGCCAGTGCTACATAGTGAGACCCTGTTTCAAAAACAAAAACAAAACACAAAACCCACGGACAAACAATTCTTAAACATTCCTACATGTAAAAACTGGGAGTTGGCCAGACATACAGGAATTTGTTAAGTACTGTGCACGGGTCATCCGTCCCCAGGAGACAAGCACATATATTCATAAGATTTACCCCTTTGAATTCAGAAAGGTTAGGCAGAACTTCTTGAGAGGTAAAAGAAGCCAGTCACAGAAGGCCACATACGCTTATGATTCTATTTATGGGAAATGACTGTACCAGGTAAAACCATAGTAAGTGAACGTTTCTAAGGGGCTCAGGGAGAGGAGCATGTGAGGTGAACGCTAATTGCTTACGATTTATTTCAGGGGCGATGTAAGTGTTCTGAGCACTGCAAAACCCACCAAATCGTGCGTGTTAAAGAGGCGAGAATTCTAGGGCTATGAATTTTATCTCAATAAAGTTGTCACCCCAAACTAGAAGCCCCCAAACGACAACGGGGATGAATGCTCTGCCAACGGGAGAAAGCAAGCCCCACGGGTGTGTGTGTGTGTGTGTGTGTGTGTAGCGCGAGGCCCACCGTGTGTGTGTGTGTGTGTGTGTGTGTGTGTGTGTGTGCAAAGTCCCAGCGCGCAGCCCCGGGTCACACTTGGCCTCCCTAGACTCCCAGGGGATCCGGGCGCAGACTCCCGTTTCCAGGCTCAGTTTCCCCACGGTCTGGAGAACTCCGACGAACTCCCAGCTCTCACCTCGCCCCTCACGCACCCAGCCGTTCTGCACATTACCTGTACGGACCAATGGCCCCTGGAGCTTTCGCGGAGTTGATCACCTTTTTGATCAAGGATGACATGTTAATTCTTCTCTTTCAAAGGCTCTTCAGAAGAAGACGAGAGACCAGCTCTGCCCGCTTCTCACTGCTCTAATCAGCCACTGACCAGCGCTGGGACCCTGCCTCAGGCACCGCCTGGGGCGGGTTCCCGGGACATGCTGGGAATTGTAGTTCGTCCCAGACTCCCGGCCACGTGGTGGAAGCCGCCTGGCTGCGCTTGCGCTCTTCAGCACACTGGTTCTCCCGTCGCCGTGCGGTCTTTTGGAGAGCGCAGTACCAGTACCTTGTCATTCTGACCCGGGGGTTCCTGAGAGCGTGTGGCAGGTAGGTGGTGCAGCGCTGGTGCCTAGCTGGGTCGCGTGCAGAGCGCGGGTGGCGTGCGTGGGGGCGCATCTTCTCACGCCCGGACTGCAGACCTCCCCTTCCATGCCTGCGCGGGGCCCTCTTCCCAGTCGCGGACCTTCTGTGTGCTGCGTTCGGGTTCCTGTTTGTGACTGCGCCCGCCAGGCCGAACCTCCCGGGGGTAGGCTTGCACCCCCTTTTCTCCTTTCCTTGAGGAACGCGGAGGGTCATTCCGGGGACCCAAGCCGAGATGGGGCGTTGTCCCCCTTCCGCTCCTCCCATGCTTCTTTCTCTACAAGATCTGGGATCTGGATTCAAATGGAAAGAGTCCTTGCTCTAGCTCAGATCTTCAGCTTTCCCCTCACGACCCTGGCGATATAAAACATACGTAAATCATTTACTGATAACAAATCATAAAGAAGTTTAAAGCAGTTCTTTGGCGTATTTGGTATAGTTTGACCACTTATTAAAGATGAACGCAAATTTGCATGCTAAGGAGATGGATGCGCTTCTTATTTTTACATGAAAGGTTAACTCGACTGAGTATTTGATACTGGAAAGCATCTTCGGTGTTTTTCAGAGTTGATCAATGTTTTTGTTTTATAATAATGTTGAGATGACATTTTGTCTAAATACATAGTACAGAATTACAGAATTAGAATTAGGGCCATTTCACAAATTGTTGGAAAGTCTGTCCTAATCCCAAACCAAAATTCATTTAATGCTTTAAGTGAAACTCAAGTCAGCAACTTAAACAGCAGTTTGTTTGTTTGTTTGTTTTTTGTCTTTTTGCGACAGGGTCTCCCTGTAGCCCCAGCTGTCCTGGAACTCACTGTGTAGACCCGGCTGGCCTTGAACTCACAGAGATCCCCCTGCCTCTGCCTCCCAAGTGCTGGGATTAAAGGTGTGCACCACCACACCTGGTTTAAACAGCAGTTTTTGAAATCAAGCAATTCAGTGCAACACGGTCCAAAAGTATTTGGGACATGATGAGAAATGACTTTGGGGAAAAATGTATTTTCCATCATGAAATTATTGTTTTTATAAGCATGAAACTGAATATACAGTAAAAACACTGGATTCATAACTTACAATAGTTTTGAACCTAAGTTGCAGTGTTTGATGCAGCAAAGCACACAATCTATGTTCAGAGTCACATCTGTTCCCATCCACACAAATTCCAGCTGAAATCCCAATTTCTTTCTGACTTCCTGATGCGCACACAGACACACACAGAGCTGAGTATTTTTTTTTTTTTTTAAATCTTTTTGAGACAGGGTCTCCCTCTAGCCCCAGCTGGCCTGGAGCTTGCTATGTAGACCAGGCTGGCCTGGAACTCACAGAGATCCTCCTGGCCCTGCCTCCCAAGTGCTGGGATAAAAGGCATGCGCCACCACCCCCAGCTCCGTGTGGTATTTTTTATGTGTGGTCTTAATCGCCAGTTGTTTTAAGTTTTAGGAATAGTGAATATAGCCAGCCAGCCTGATCGGAATTCAGTGTTCACCACCTTGGAAGATTGTCATTGGTGGCTGTATACTATTTCTTCAAGGCACACATGTACACATTCTGCCATTTTCTACATGAAATTTTCTGTGTATAGGTAGAAATAAGTGCTAATATTAAAATATTGACGCACAAGCTTGGTAAATAACCTGCTACCCTGAGCTTTCCTACCTCCTAATGTCTCCTTGGGACACCTCTTAGATTTGCCTGTAGTCAGCAGAAGTCTTGGTGGCTCTTGCATGGGGTGAGGGCTTCTAGGCCCTGTCTCCAACTTTACAGATTGTGTCAGTCCCTTTGCTGATGTGATTCTCCTTTGGGTTCAAAAATCTCTATTTCAAAATTTCGTTTACTGTAATTGTGGTCAAATACAGAAATATCTATTATTTTATTAAAGTTACCTTTCAGTTTTTTATGTTACATTTAAGTCATACAGTATAGGGTGTTGATAAAAGTTATGTCTCTAGTCAGTCATGTTGTTAATGAATTTTATTTCATAATAGAAAACAAGTGATTCACATTGATTCCGTGATAAAAGTTGGGTGTGGAGTTTCAGATTTGAGAACTCCTAAGTAAATCCATTAGGCTGTTACTGTTGTCATTCTTTATGCTTTTCACTTCAAATTGAAATCATTGTCTGTTGCTATCATTCATTAAGGATAGCATTAACCAGCCTCAGCTCAGTGGTAGAAATGAAAATATCATTCAGCTTTAGTATGGAATAAAGTGTTTTAATTATCATTTATTCAGGTAGCTGTTATTTTATCTAAGAACCAAGATAAAATTTTATAATTGATTTAATTTTTAAGTCATGTATAGTGATCTTATCTCACCTCGTTTTTTTCCCCTAACAGATTTTATGCATTGTATATAGTTTGATTATTTGGCCGTGCAAGCTGAAATGCATGGGACAGTTCCATCAAGAAACTTGTGTTTTTTTTTGTTTTTTTAATTTAATTTTATTAATTATTTTTATTTTATGTGTATGCATGTATTGCCTGCATGTAGGTAAGTGCACCCAGGTTGTACAATGCCTGCAGAGGACAGAAGAGGTCATCAGATCTCCTGGAACTGGAGTTACAGACAGTTGTTAGCTGCTGTGTGGGTGCTGGGATTCGAACCTGGGTCTTCTGCAAGAACAGCTCGTGTTCTTAACCACTGAGCCATCTCTCCAGCCCTTGTTTGGTTTTTAAGACAAGGTTTTGCCATGGAGCCCTGGCTGGCCTTGCCCACAAAGCATTCCTCCTGCTCAGCCCTTTCTCTACCCCTGGAAGCTAGGTTTACAAGTGTGTACCACCTCATCTAACTGAGTTTTTAGTATCTATACCATTCATGACTTCATTGAAATTTCCCTTTTTAGGAATCCTTGCTGTAGATTAATATGGTAATATTTTAGTATCATCAAATTTTGAGTTACATAGATATTTATTACATTATTATTTTAAACATTTAGTACTTTATTGTGTATGTGCATGAGGGAGGCTTGTTGACTTGGATGTAGAGGTCAGAGGACAACTTGGAGGAGTTGGTTCTCTCCTTTCACCATGTGGGTCTTGGGTATTGAACTGAGGTCATCAGGCTTGGCAGCAAACACCTTCACCTGCTGAGCCACTTTCCTGACCCATTTAAAAACCAAACTCTTTGTGTTTTTTTTTTTTTTGTCTTTTTGAAGCAGGGTTTCCCTGTGGCCCCAGCTGCCCTGGAACTCACTATGTAGACCAGGCTGGCTTTGAACTCACAGAGATCTGCCTGCCTCTGCCTCCCAAGTGCTGGGACTACAGGTGTGTGCCACCATGCCGGACTGTGTTGTTTTTTGAAACAGGATCTTGTGTAGCCCAGGCTGGCCTCATTTGCTATATAGTCAAGAATGACCTTGAACTCTTGATCCTTCTGCCTTCACCTCCAAAGTGCTGGTGTGAGCCACCATGCCAGATATTTTTTATTATTGTTATTACTTTTTGAGACAGGGTCTCCCTGTAGCCACAGCTGGCCTGGAACTTGCTATGTAGACCATGCCCACCTGGAACTCATAAAGATCCACCTGCCTCTGCTTCCTGAGTGCTAGGGTTAAAAGCATGCGCCACCACGCCCAGCCTGACATTTACGATTTTTGAAATGGGAGTTTTCTCTCCTCGAATTATGTATATTGCTTCCTTTTCAGACATGTCTAATGCAAAAGAAAGAAAACATGCCAAGAAAATGAGAAACCAGCCCACTAATGTGACTTTATCCTCTGGCTTTGTGGCTGATAGAGGCGGAAAGCACCATACTGGAGGTGGAAAACCTTCCCAAGCTCAAAAACAAGGTAAGATGCATACAGTGTTCTTTCTACTTCATTTGAATTAAATTGTTTTTGCCAGTTTCACTTGCTAGTCATCATCTAAATTGTCAATGAGATGATTTAAAGAGACAGAAAACTCTAGTTCTTACCAAAGTTCCTATTTGCAAAGTTGCTTTGCTTGCTTGTTTGTGACCCCCTCATCAGCACTTAGGGAGCTTTGGCTGTCATTTCTGGACATGTGGAGAGCAGGAAAAAAGTCAAGGTGCTCTAAGTGTGAGTTCCCAGCTGCTTTTCTTGTTGCAGCTGCCTTGCAGGAGAAGGGCAGTGTTGTTCAGAGCTGTGCAAAGAATGCAGTTCTGCCTGGGCTTTGAATCTCAGTAGTGGGGTGACCTCGTGCATGCCCCCAGTACCTCTGAACTTCATTTTCTCTTGTAAATAAAGGGAATAGAACCTACCAGTAAGGAATTGTTTTTTTAAAAATATTTTATTTATTAGCCGGGTGTGGTGGCGCACGCCTTTAATCCCAGCACTCAGAAGGCAGAGGCAGGCGGATCTCTGTGAGTTTGAGGCCAGCCTGGTCTCCATAGCGAATCCAGGCCAACTAGGGCTACAGGGAGACCCTGTCTCAAAAAGACCAAAAAAAAAAAAAAATTTTTTTTTAAATTTATTATTTAAATTTTATGAGTGTATTGCCTGCATGTGTGTGAGTGCACCCGTGTCGTGCAAGGCCGCGGAGGTCAGAAGAGGGCTTCAGATTCCCCTGGAACTGGAGTTAAGGATGGGTCATAGCTGCCATGTGGGTGTTGGGAATCGAACCTGGGTCCTCTGCAAGAGCAGTCAGTGCTCTTAACCATTGAGCCATCTCTCCAGCCCCATGGAATTGTTTTTTGAATGTAAAATTACAGGTTGGTGAGATACTCAGTGGGTAAAAGCACGTTCTATGCAAGCCTGACCACCTGAGTTTCATCTCTTAAACCTGTGGTGGAGGGAGAGAACCAGCTCTGGAAAACTGTCTTCTGACCTTCCCATGAGTGCCATGGTCACAGCTGTATGTGTATGTATGTATATTTGTGTGTGAATATAGAGAAAGGAAATGAAAAAAAGGGAAAGGGGAAGGAAGGAAAGAAAATAGTTTTCCCAGGAGCAGAGGTTCACTATTCATAATTCAGTGTAAACTTGACTTTATAGGACAATTACTACAGTATGATTATGCACATTTTAGAGCTGATATGTGTTATTTCTGCCTTAGCGTTTATTAAGTTATACTTCTGTATTTCCTAAGAGAAATATAGTCAGCATATCAATATTTAAGTCATGTGCTGCTGCTTTTAGACACTCATGAAATGATACACAGGAACAATTGTTTATTGGGGCAGCAGTAGAGAATGCCAGCTTGGAAAGACAGCGGGCAGGCGGCTTGCTTAAAGAGCAGCATGCTTTAGGCCTGATTAAATAAATGTTAGATTAAAAAAAAAGAAAAAAGAAGATTAAAGTTTTTAAAAATTTTCTGTGTATGAGTTTTGCCTGCATGTATGTAAGTACTCTTCTATGCATGTAATGCCCACAGAGGCCAGAAAAAGGCATTGGATCCCCTGGAACTGGAATTATGGACACTTATTAGCTATCATATTTATGCTGGGAGCCAAACTCCTGTCTTCTGTAAGAGCAGCCAGTTCCCTTAACATCTGAGCCATCTCTCCGGCCCCAGATTTAAATTGTTAAACTTTAGCAATTGAGGACTATTACTTTGAACATGTCATAGGCCTTTCTCACATACTATCTCATTTAAACCGCACAGTGACAAACCTTGTAACATGTTCTAAGATTAAGGTGGCATAATAATTCACATCCCAGTGGAATAAATGGGAAATCTGTAGAATTCTCCACTGACCTCACTTCTGTTCATAGATATCTGATAGTTTCCTAAAGTCTGAGTGGTTTGAATGCCCAGAAATTTATGTAGAGACTTTGCTTTTCATTCTGTCTTTAACAGTGGCTTCTGACTTGAGCCAGACAATTAGGGTAAGGATGAGTATATGAAATCATGTGAGAGTGCTATTGAGGCTGGTAAAGTAGGTGGCTTCTAGATAATACAAATTTATTTCTCAAAGTTCTGGTGTCTAAGAAGTACAAGTTCGAGCAGCAGAGTCCCTGTGTGGTGAGGGCCCTGTGTAGTTCCTAAACGACAGCTTTTTCCTGTCCCTTCATATGGTGGAGGGCGTGAGGGGTCTCTGGATCCTGTTTTATAAGGGCACTAATGTCATTCATCAGGACTCTCTTTCCATGATCTAGTCACCTCCCAAAGATCCCATCTCCTTGATGGGTAGGATTTCAGCATTTGAACTTGGAGGCATGTAACTATTCAGACCATAGCAAGGGGCTTGAGTTGAAAACTCCTGTTTCACTATAAATGGTGAAGGGAGAAAATTTCCTTCTATCTATCTGTTAATAGGTCATACTGCTATGATTACCTATTGTATTGCTACTAGCTTTGTGACCTTGGGCTTGCTCTTGGGAAAGTCACCAGAATTCCTACTCAAGATTCTTCTTTAAAAGGAGATAATAGTGCCTGCTTGGTGTCTTGGAGGGTAAAAGTGCTTGTCATGCAAGCCTGGTGACCTGAATTTAGTCCTGAGAACCCACATACCATTGAAGGAGAGAGCCACCTGTACAAAGTCATCCTTTGATATTTTGTGTGTGTGTGTGTGTGTGTGTGTGTGTGTGTGTGTGTGTGAGAGAGAGAGAGAGAGAGAGAGAGAGAGAGAGAGCGTGCCAAGGGTGCAGCGGGTCTGGAGCTGGGACCAGGAGTTGCCACCTTATAGTGACTGTAGGATTAATAAGCTAATTATTTACTATAATCCTATCTGTGGTATGGATGACATACTTCTTTTTGTTTTGTTTTGTACTAGAGCTTCATTCTGGAACCTCACGACAGCGGCAAATCAAGACGAGCCCCCACTCACTTCCTGAGCCTGATGTGAATGAGCAGTCTTCCTCTAAAAACATGTTTAAAAAAAAAGGAGGCTGGAAAGCAGGTCCTGAGGGCACTTCTCAGGAAATTCCCAAATATTTAACTGGTAGGTATTTTTAAGGAAAAGCAGTCTGCATTCTTTGTTGCTAGTGCCAACCACTGCACTCCTCTGCCCTGCCTGGTTTCTGCCTCCCCATCTCCCTCCTCTATTCCAACCCTTTGGGCTCTTCCTCACCTCCAGCCCGAACTTTGGCCACAACATCCTCAGGCCTGGTGCCCTCTACTCTTCAGATCCTCGCTTACTCGTCTCATAAATCTTTGTGAACTGTTCTAACTTCCATCCCCTTCTCTGTGACACCACACATACTCTTTAGCATGGTGGTTTTGAAATACAGAAAAATCTAATAGAAACCAAGATTTAAAGCGTGTCTTCTTGTCATTTTCATCTGTTGCTGCTTCATCACCTCCAGCTCCACGTAAACTGTGTTCCTTGACCACACCTTATGTGCTTTCCGATAACTATTCTTTCTTGCATCAAGTTTCTCCAGCACCCTATTTACTTAGAGAGACAGTGATTGACTCTGTTTTTTAATAAAGAAAACCAATAACCATTACAAGTTTTGAAAAAGCAGAAAATATGAAAGGAAAACCTTTTGGAGTCAGAACTATTGTGATTCCCCCCCCTTATTTTCATGTGTAATTTTTGTTGAGGAGTCTTCTCATGATGATAGAACGTGGAAATGACTAGTGTTGATGCTTACCTTGTGGGAGTCAGGTGGCGGATAGGCTGTAAGCTCTCTTCTCATCTGCCTGCCATCTGAAATCCAGCAGAAAGACCGTTCTTTCCAGACTTGTTCTTAATGACCTTGCCGTTTCCTTCATCAGCTTCTACTTTTGCTCAAGCACGAGCTGCCGAAATCAGTGCTATGTTAAAAGCAGTGACCCAGAAGTCTTCCAATTCACTGGTTTTCCAGACTCTTCCACGGCACATGCGACGAAGAGCCATGAGCCACAACGTCAAACGCCTTCCCAGACGGTTGCAGGAGCTGGCCAAGAAGGAGGTAGGCATTGTACTTAGTGTAGGTGTCCAAGTTAGTTCCTAGAAGAAACTACGTTTTGACCCAGAAGAACTTACTCAAAGGAAAACCAGAAACCAACATGCTCACTGTGGGGCTGGAGAGATGGCTCAGCAGCTAAAACTGCTTTCTGCTCTTCCAGAGGACCCAAGTTTACATGCCAGGTGGCTTGTAACTTCCTGTAACTCCCAGCTTCAAGGGATCCAATACCCTCTTCTGGACTCCGCAGGCACTAACACATGTCATAATCACAGGATACACACACATACACACAAATAAATAAAATGAAGTCAGCATACTGTGACATCCTTTTTTTTTTAAAAATATTTTATATATTATTTTTGTTTTATGTGTATGAATGTTATGCCTGCATGTAGGCAAGTGCACCCGTGTCGTGCAGTGGCCGTGGAGGACAGAGAGGTTGTTGGATCCCCTGGAACTGGAGTTACAGGCAGTTATTAGCTGCCATGTGGGTGCCGGCTCTTCTGCAAGAATAGTCAGTGTTCTTAACCGTTGAGCCATCTCTCCAGCCCCTCTGTGACATCCTTTTTATCTTTGTTGGCGTATTTTTGGTTTAATCATTATCCAGCCATGTTCACCATCTCTAAACCACATTAGGCTGGTCTTAAACTTGATAGGCAGCTAATGATGACTTTGAACTCCAGCCTCGCTCATCTCCTTCCTGGGATTACAGGCATTGGCCATCAGGATACCTGGTAGAATTCTTCGAATGGAGTGAAATGGTTGGTGTTCCTCTTCTAGATTTAAAATAAAATTCTGACCCCCTTGGGCTGACATGATGGTTCAGCAGTTACAGGTACTTACTTCTCACTAAGCCTAATGACCCGAGTTCAGTCCCTCGGACCCACATAGTGGAAGGGGAGAACTGACTCCCACAAATTGTCCTCTGGCCTCCATGCATACATGTGCACACAAATAAATAAATGTAATAAAATTTTAAAAATTTTGACTCTCTTACCAGATAATTATTTTGCCTCCTATGTTTTGGAGGTGTAGTTAGCTTGGGGTTGGAAGAGAAATAAAAATTAGCATCAGTAGGGGCTGGAGAGATGGCTCAGTGGTTAAGAACACTGAACGTTCTTGCAGAAGACCTGGGTTCAAATCCCAGCACCCACATGGCAGCTAACAACTGTCTGTAACTCCAGTTCCAGGGGATCTGACAGCCTCTTCTGTCCTCCGCAGGCACTGCACGACAACGATGCACTTACCTACATGCAGGCAATACATGCATACACATAAAAATAATAAATAAAATATTTAAAAAAAATTAGCATCAGTGCCTAGCAATGCTGCTTGACTTTTTCAAGGTTGAAAGTTTCAACTTGGATTTAATTTTTATAATTTATTATTTTTATTTAATGTGTATGAATGTTCTGCCTGCAGGTATATAAGTGTACCATGTGTGTGCAGTGCCTATGGAAGCTAGAAGAGGGGTGTTGGAACCTCTGGAACTGGAGTTAAGGAAGATTGTTAGGAGCCGTGTGGGTGCTGGGTACCAAACCTGGGTCCTCTAGATGAGCAGCCAGTGCTCTTAACTATGGAGCCACCTCTCCAGCCTGTTTTAATATTTGTACAAGTCTAATTGTGATTTGGCCTCACCAGAATTCTGGACATACCATTCTAAGATTGTTTAAGTTACCCACGTCTCTACCATATGCATCAGCATGTATTTATTGAGTTCCTTCTGTGTTTTGATACTATACTAGTTAGAATTCAGCAAGCTGAAGTCCTTATCTTTCAGGGCATTTACAAACTAATAGAGAATTTTTTTTCACAGAAGTTGAGCTGAATAATGGAAAAGATTTAAGAGTGGAAATTAACCAAGAATTTTGTACTTTCTAGATTTAATGTGAGGTCTGTTTTCTAGCAGTATTCAGCATTTATCTGTAGCTTAATTGGATTGAAATTAGTGGGTTTCCTCCACTTTTATTTTATTTTATTTTTTGGTCTTTTTTTTGAGACATGGTCTCCCTGTAGCCCCAGCTGTCCTGGAACTCGCTATGAGACCAGGCTGGCCTTGAACTCACAGAGATCCACCTGCCTCTGCCTCCTGAGTGCTGGGATTAAAGGTGTGCGCCACCACACCCGGCTCCGTTTTTATATTTTTGATCTTATGTTTTTTATTGTAGTTACTATCATAAAGGTTGAAACAAGAAGTTAGGGTGCTCAGTGGTTAAGAGCACTGACTGCTCTTGCAGAGGACCCGGGTTCTATTCCCAGCACCCACATGATGGCTAAGAGCTGTCCATAACTCCAAGTTCAGGGGATCTGACCTCGTCTTCTGACCTTCGTGGGCATTGCACTACATGGGTGCACTTACATACATGCAGGCAATACACTCATACACATAAAGTAAAGATAATCAAT